TCCAGTAAAGTAGGTCGCACACCCGAACGAGAAGCGTAGCGGCGCGTCGCGCAGCGCCACGTCTTTAAAATTCGAACACAATATTCTCTATGAGTGTACACACACCGGCGGCGCCGTTCGGCGTCTGTCCGCGGCGCCCAGCAACGGCTCAGGACGTGTTCAAAACCCTGCTGCGCCACAGAGCGCCATTTACGTAGTTTTCTATACAATTTAAATTATTTTTGTCTTAAATCGGTGCTGACGGATCCTGACTTCGCCCTATGCTGCATTATAGCCTACATTTAGTTTTGCATTTATTTACAGAAATCAGCTGCTTGAATGACAATTGCAATGTTATTGGATTTTTCAGGTGAGATTCTCAATTCATTCAGTTAACGGATGCTCTGAAGTAAAGTTTTCAGACCGCAGACTCAGCAACGATTGTATTTTAATTGTACAGTAAAATAATAACAGGACCACTATCTTCATGTTCATTAAACATTACAATATTGCTGGCCATACACTGATGAGAAAGTCCGGGTGCGCTGTGCATTTAGATTATAAACGCTTTCACTGTGATTTAGTTGGTTTATATCATTTAATATAGTTAAAGAATGAGTCAATGAATGAAATGAAATCGCTGCGCTGCGTGAGGAGAGTATGTAAACAGATTCGCCGCTGGCTTAAACCAGAAAGAAATTTTAAGAAGTATAATGAAATGATCTCCATGCTACACTAATAATAGTAGTAAAGGCTTTCCTCTGTATTTTTTTGCCTGTATTATTGGTGTCCCCTTCAAAATTTGCTCTTGAGAATTGTTATGTTTATTGTCCCCCCCAACATTTTGATGAAATTTTCGCCCCTGCTTTCACCGAACATTTTCTTTCGTGAGCAGGATCCACTTTTAATGAAATGCCATTAGAGGGCACCGGCAAGTGTCACACCGTCACCCTTAGCAGGCACGCAGTAATAGTGGCAGGCAAGATGCTGGCGCCCATAGAGTTTGTGGTGGATTTGTGTTTTTTTTTTTAATTGTTTGCTTGTTTAATTGTTTGACTCTCTAAATGAGTTTGGTGATTCAGGTCTAGAGATGAATATGTCAAAACATAACCTGATCACATTTTCTGTTTGTTCATCTAGCAGTTATAACTCAATTACAGCAGCCAAGCAAAATGAAATGTAAATACTTTAAGGGTCAAGAAACTACAGCAAACACTGACCACCATGATGGTGTATTAAATGCTTTTTTCTCTTTTGGTGATGCTGCTTGTTATCATCAGGTGTCTTCAATAATGGTCAATTATTCACGTAATTATCTCATTAAGATTAATTTAAAGGGCACCTATTATGCCCCTTTTTACAAGATGTAATATTGGTCTCTGGTGTCCCTAGAATGTATTTGTGAAGTTTCAGCTCAAAATACCCCACAGTTAATTTATTATAACCATTTAAAAAGGTCATTTCGGGGCCTGCTTAAAAATGATCTGTTTCGGGGGTATACGACTTTAAATGCAAATGAGCTGCATATCCCCGCCCTTCCTTTGGATGAGGGCGTAACATGAAACCTATGGCAGTCGGTACGGTGAGACTGAGAGAAACCGCTGTTTTGAATGTCATTCAGCGTACGTTTGAATCGGAATATATAAATAGTACGAAAAGACTCCGGAAGAATAAACACAAATGAGAATGGACCAGTACGTCTCGGTATGGTTATTTGATACATTTATGTACTTTAGCGTTGTTGTAATCGCGTCCCATTTGCAATTATGGATGTGGAAGACACACACACACAAACACTAATGCTAGCGCAATTTTTCTGAAATTACATACACATACTGTGATAAAGTTTGCTACTACAAGCGAAATTACATTTATGCGAGGGACGGGGACCTCATGTTTACTTGTCATACGGGTGCTTCTGTGGCAAATGTGAGGAGATGGCTAACTTAAAGAACAACAACATATATGCAGTTTTTAATACAATATCTTTAAATATATATAAACGTGTGGTTACACACTATACAAACAAGGTTTAAATTATATAGCCTACACAGACATCCTACGACAACAACAACTTTAGACGCATTTGTTGTTGAATTGGCTGACATTGACTGAAAAGACTATTTGCTCAAAAATCATAAAACACACTTACTGTTACTGGAGGTGACGTTGGATCGCAAACAGTAGACGACGATCCACACTTGAGGATTAATTTTAAGCCACAACAACAGGATTAACCCACGAGTCCACGACAGAACACTTATGTTTCCAAGAGATATTACCGGCTGTCGTTGAAACAATGGAGGATGATGTGTACAGATCACCGAAGGCGGGGTCTAGGCCACAACCACACTGTCAATCAAACCCCTTTCTCACTTTCTACGTCACAAAGAGCTGAATCTTAGAACAGCTCGTTCTGAGACAGTGCATATGATTTATTGAGATTGTAAAAAAAAAAACACTGGGTGGATTTTTATCATTCTAGGGTGGTTTTGCTCACACACTGCAAACACACAAAAGTGAATTTTCCATAATAGGTGCCCTTTAACACTCATATTTTAACACTTTAACACTCTTGAGTATGGAGCCAAACAAACGCTCAGGAGAATTAATTTAACACTGGAGTTTTTGCAAGGCAAGGGAGGTTTCTTGCATTATTAAAGAAAATAAATTGCTTGTTTTAACCTAAAGTAAGTTTAACCAAGTAATAAAAAGTGAAATCAACTAAAATAACAACTTTAACAAAACTAGAACACTGCAGTTACATCAACCTTATTAACTTTCATTTCCAAGTTGAAACAAAGGCAGTCTTCAAGTTGAGTGAACTTCGATCTTCAAGGCAGCAGGTGAACTTGCATTTGCAAGCTAAACTAACATGAAATGTCTTAGTGTACTATTTAACTTTGTGATACAGAACCGTTACATCACACACACTCTGAAAAACATGGCATCATGACACTGTGTGAAAGTGAAACGCAAGGCTCGACTCAAGGCCAGAGTTCAATGTGTTTACTTACCCCTCATCAAGGCTGTTCAGTTTGAAGCCTTGCTTTCAGAAAGGCCATCTCTGAGCTCTCGAAACAACCAGAGAGATTGCAGTATACCTGTGCAGTTCCCAGCTGACATGGGAAGTGTTCTGAACTGCATTCCCATGTTAGTTGGTTATGGATTAAACAGCGGTTTAACGTGTGTGTGTGTGTGTGTGTGTGGTTCATGGATCCTTCAAGTATATCGCTTCCTCTATCTCTCATGGTCAGTGTGTGTTTGGGGAGTGCAAATCAAATAAAAACAGGTTCCCAGAAGACTGAGTCAAAAAAAAACTCTTAACAAGGTCAACTCCAGAGTTTTGTCAACTATTCTTAAAGGAACAATTCACCCCCAAATTTTAATTCTGTTTGTTTTAAACAGAATTAAAACAAACCACTATGTTTGTTTTAAAACGCAACTGCTGTCATGTATTGCCACAGGACATTCAATTTGAGTAAATTATCCATCATCTTAGCAGGACTGTTGTAACATTTTTCGCAACTGTGTAAAAGCGAATTGCACACAACAGACACAAAACCGGTATAAACATCTATCGCTACATTATGCGCCGTCACATGACTAAACATTGCGTCATTTTCAAATGGATATGTTTTCACAGTCCGAACTACAATGCGAAAACGCCATTTTAAAATTTTCAAATCATGGCCAAAATTGTACAGTGTGAATCCGACTTTAGATTATTAAGTGATAACCATTATTGATGACACCTGTTGTTAACAAAGAGAATCACTGAAGGAAAGAGAAAGGAAAGTCACCAATGTGGGAGATTATTGTTTGCCTTAGTTGGACACTTGACCCTCCACTTCTCATGTGAGTTGTGGCATGTGTTCAGAAAATGTTTACTGTGGAAAAGCAGAATAACATCAGATGTTGTTGCCTGTATATAATAGTGTCATGATGAGGTGTCTTGACATCACTGAAAATGATGTCTAACCACTGATCAAGTGTTTTCTCATAAATACACCTAATATTGTGCTACTGACGGAGTAGTATTATAGAGTGATATCCATCGGCGTTGTGACCATCAGATATTCCGAAACATTTTGAAAATGTGTTGTGAGCAAGAAGCTGTTAACTATACGTTATTAAGACACAAACAGACGTCAATCACAATCAGCATATGAATCTCAACAATGGTGACATGCTTCATGCTGCAGTGCATTCATGACTCCCAGCATGCATTGCGACATGAATAAATTACGCAGCCGAATTATATTATTTACATAGAAATATTTTTCATGATTGTCTCCATTGTTGGTGTTTTAATATTACAATCAAATTAATCAGTTAGTCCAGTCCAACGAACTCTTTTGATTATTCATTTAGCTGTTCTGCTATTCATTTAGCTATTAACATTTCAGCTGTTCTGAAACCGAAAACTCAGGTTTGTCTATATAAAGCCTTTTGACGCTTCATCCTCCTTCTGACTTTTTCTTCTTGCATTCTGTGCCTCGTCTGCAACACATCTGACAGTAAAGCTTGCATTTTTTTCTTCAGCAAAGCTCTCTTTAATAATTTTTTTTTCTCACTATGCTTTTTAATGAATGCTTAAAACATTAAGTGTGGTATGATTCTCTTTATGAACCACTTTCTCAATAAACCATTTTACAATAACAATTGTGGTGTTTTTCTTTATAAACCACTTTATATAATCCTTTAGAAAAAAGTTTCAAGTTAATGCAGAAGTGTTCTACAGACAAAAAATACATCCTTGTAACAGGACATTTGTACATTTTGCACAACACTGTATAATGTGATTAAAATCACAGGGCTCTATGTATGTTATTGATTTTATGTTTAATCTGATTATGAGCATAATCGCATTAACATGATTGCAGTATTCTGTTTACATGAGCTTAAGTTTAAATCACAGCATTGCCTTAATTGGATTATACAGGAATTGCATTATGAGGGTGCAACTAAGCAATATTTGACTAAAAGTCAAAACTTCATCTCCCCTTGTGTTTCTGCAGGTCCCTGAACGTTTCTTGGAGGTAACTCAGATTGCACTACGCGAGTTCTTCAATGCCATAGTGGCCTGTAGAGATGCGGATCCATCGTGGAAGAAGGCCATTTATAAAGTCATCTGCAAACTGGACTCTGAGGTTCCAGATATATTTAAATCGCCCAGTCGTCTTCAGGAACTTCTACATGATTAACGTTACAAAACATCACTAAAATGCGTTTCTACCCTTTTTTTTAATGTATATTACTAATTTGAGTTGCAGGATTGTACCTGTTTGTTTTAAAAGTATTTTTTTCTGGCTTTTCACAGTAAAAAACATTTTATTTATTAATGTTATCATTAGGTTACCTTTTGAAGTATAGCTCTTGTTAATGCAGAATATTCATTGTGGATTGTCTCACAGACTGTCCTGGTGTGAGAAATTCAAATTTTGTAATTTTTTTTTTTATTGAAAATGAAGGATGAACAGAATTAAGGTGAATCATTTTTATCGTTAATTTTATGTACCTTTTGCATTCCTGCTCTAAGGTTTTCTATTTGTTCTGTGGTAACCAAAACTTATTATTATTTCAAAATATAGCACTCAATATGCAAATGTATACTACTGAAAGAGGCGTTTTTTTCTAAAGAGCGAGTTACATTTTTTATGTTTCTTGGGGTGAAATCTTATTATGCTAAACGGAGTAGTCTTGTCCTCTTGTCTGTGCTTGCTTTACAGCACTATACCTCACAACATAGGAAACAATTGTGCTCACTTTTTGAGATAAAATGGCTAACATGCTGGAAATGCCTCTGTTATTAGCAAATTTATCAGCATATTCCTCAATCAGACTGTGTGTGCACTTGGATGTCTCACTAAACCAGCTGAAAGCAGAGTGGAGTCACTTGTAAGTGTCCCTCCTGGACTGTATAGCTAAAAATGGCATCTCAAAAAGCCAACAAAAGCAAATTGAAGTGTCTGTTTTTGCCTCTTTTATAAAAAAAAAAAAAAAAAAAAAATCCCAACCATTTGGTGAGAGAGTTTCTACATTCATATATGTACAAGCTTGTATGGTTGATCTCTTATTTTAATTCCTTCTTGTCACAGATTTGTGAATAAAAAGTTACTGACGATAAAACACAAAAATCACTTTGAACTGAGATAAAGATAGAAATTTTATGTGTGTTGCAACTAAAGTTCCGACACTGAATCTGTAATAAAGATTTCAAACTTTTTTGACTTTATTTTAACGTTAGTATGATGTTCCTGTAATGATCTTTTAACTTAATTTTTCCTCTGATATTTGTTTTCTGAACACACTTCTAAAGCAGCCAGAGAAAAGTTTACAGTCAAGAGTCAAGAGCCCACAATAAACACTGATTACCACAATGGTGACTTCAAATGTTTGTTTCTCTTTCCTTCAGTGTGTCATCACTTATGATAAATCATCACTTAACCAATAAACTCCAACACTTCGTCAGTTTCAAGGGCTGTTTACGCGCCACCGTTTAAAAAAAAAAAAAAAAAAAAAACGTAAAACTTTTTATGCATTTTGGCAGTTCGTTTACACGACAACAGCGGTTTGGGCACCTGAAAATGTAGTTCGCAAATCTCTGACGATGATGACGCAATGCACATGTGTATTACGTGTTCAGTCTGAAGTGTTTCATCGAAATTTGGCCTGGCAGCAGAATACTGTGTTTTTAACCGTTTTCGCGGATCCACATGTGGATCGTTTTGACAATGTCATCGTCTGTATGCGGGAAAGTCAAAGGAAAAATGTCTTCGTTTTAAGCTTATGTCTGAACGTACCCTAACATTCTGTATGGTGGAAACATGTGAGCTCAGAGCGGTATTCATTAAACACAGGGGACTTTGTTGTTTAACTCTGGCGTTCCCCAGGGATCAGTTTTGGGCCCGTTACTCTTTCGTATTTACATTTTTCCATTTGGCCAACTTGTAAGAACACTTGGTCATAACTTTCACTTTTATGCCGATGACACTCAGGTCTATACCTGATGTCAATATGCCTCAATGTTTTACTGGATGTTTGAAAACTGTCTCTGTCTAAATAGTGATAAGACTGAAGTGATGCTTCACCTCATCAGTTGCGTAAAGTAGAGTCCATAACCTTAAGTGTGAATGGCTCTGCTTTGAAATTGCAAACTAAACTAAAAAATCTGGGGGTGATATTTGACGCCAATTTAACATTTGACCATAATGTTCGTAACACAGTCAAAACATCATTTTTTTTTCATCTCAGAAACATTGCCAAATTACGCTCTTTGTTGACCTTCTCTGTGGCTGAAAAGTTAATCAACACTTTTGTTTTTTCACAAATTGATTATTGTAATGCTTTGCAGGTTGGGGTTTCAATACCCTAAGTGAATTACAGTAGGTACAAAATTCGGCTCATAGGGTTCTGTCTGGGACCAGTGCAAGGGAGCACATTACACAAATCCTGGAAAAATTGCAATGGCTTCATGTTAGTTTCCGTATTGATTTTAAAATTCTCATGCTCACTTATAAGGCCTTGAATAACTTGGCCCTTCAATATTTGTGTATAAGTAATGCGAATTTCAAACTGTGTAATAGTAATGATGTAAAAAAAAAAAAAAAGAGAGAGATTAGTAGGTTGTTTTGTTAAGTCTGTAATTAAAAGACTGGGTGATGATGGTAGTGCAGTGAAGTGTCCTTTGCAATGTTCCCTATTTTTATTCATTGTTGTTACAAACCTCCGACAGAAGAGGGCGATATTTCACTAAAAACGATCAGGTGGCCATGAGCACAACCCTGTAGTTCTGAAACAGCCGCTTTGTAACGCATGTCCCCCGACCTCACTCATGTTGCGCTAGGCTTTCAGCTCCTCCAGTGGCGCGCGCGCCCAGCAGAGGATCATCGCTCCTCTGTTATCAGCTGATGGACTTGGACTCAGTGGGTGAACCCAGAACATTCTTCTCCTCAGACACACTCAAAATAAAAGCGTCTCTAACGAACACGTGACATTCTTACGTTTTTAAATTCTTCTTGCGTCAAGAAAGCGCTGGTGTTTCCTTTACGCGGTCTCTGGGAAGAGAAACATCTGGCGCTTGACAAAATACATGCTTTCAAAATGCGTTTACATGTCGATAAGATAAAAGTGTAACCTGTCCGAAACACGTGGGATGGACAGTGATGCTGATACTGGAACACACTGATCCATCATCGTCTGCGCGCCACTTAGGTAAAGTTGGTTTTATATTCGCATATTCGCACATTCGCGGACTTCCGCGTTCAATAACTCGTGAACTAAACGTTGTTGCTAGACACAACACATATCACAGATAACTACAGATAAAACACCACAAGCTACAACTTACATTTCATCAAAACGATCTTTCCTTCGGACAGGACAAAATACATTGATCTCTATGCGCAGGCTGTTAAAAAGGGACCATCTACAAAGTGCAAACCCGAAGGAAAAGTTGTTTTGTGGAGATAAAAAATGTTATTTGTGTAGTAACAATATTCAACTCACGAGATATTGAACGCGGAACTCCGAAAATATGCAAAGCGAATATAAAACACAAAACAAAACAAAAAAATCTACCCAAGTTGCAGACTTGATCATGTTGGACCTTCAGGACCACATAGTTCGTGGACAGCACCATGAACGTAGTCAAGCAAAAAAAAAAAAAAAAAAACAGGGTGAAAATAGTTTCATGTTTCATATTTGCCGAGTATTCACCTAGATCACGACTGCTTTAGTGCACTTTTGCGTAGGCTATTGTACATAGGCTACAGTACACAAAAAGTGTTAAAACTTAGAGTAATTCACCAAACACATTTTTTTATGTTCCAAATGTTGTAGTATGTACCTACTGACCAGACTGAGGTGGAATTTTGACAGTAGGCTACCTCCCTTACTGTAGGCCTATGTACTGAAGGGTTGGGGTCAGAATCCTGTCTCTTCAATTTAATTATATATCCTTTTATAAATATTTATCCTTTGGAATAATTAATTTATTATTTAAAAAAAAACAACAACAATCAAGTAGTTATTGTAATCATTTCTTTATTCATTTTCTTTTAGGTGCATTCCAGTGTGTGCCCTTGAGTTGTATTCACATGCAAGGCGCCTTTTGATTATAATTGTCTTGGGATTCAGAGAGCAGCGAGAGAGAGACATACATACATTCAGTTTTTTACAGCCAATTGGTCAAACACACAATCTTGAACTGTCATTATTTGTAGAAGAGCCCTTAGGACTTTTGCATATAAAAGTATACATCCCTTTGTCCTCTTTTTCTGGACCTTTTCATCATCACTGTATCTTCTGTATCTCATCCGCAACATATAGACGGTAATGATGGCATTCTCCTCCTTTCTTTTACAAAGCTCTTTCTAATTAATGTTTAATTCCTCTCTACTCTGTCACCATCATCTGCTCAATAAATGCTTACAACATTCAGTGTGCTATGTTTTTCTTTATAAACCATTTTCATAATACAAATATTTAGAAAACAAGTTACAGTGTTTTCATTAATAAACCAGCATCATAATAAAAATCATTATAAAACAAGTTGAGGTGTTTTTCTTAATAAACTATTTTCTGGTTACAATGATTATTAATACAAGTGTTTTACAGTAAACGCTTTCTTAATAAATTGTTTAACAACTAATTAGGATACTTTTCATTACTTTTCATTGCACTTTTTATTGGTGACAATTGTGGCTTGTAAGCCATAAACACTTCATATACCAAAAGCCATGATTATAATATAATAATTGCATATTTCATAACAATATCACATATCTTGTCATAGTTGACTTGTATAACTTTGAAGGTCAATTTATACATAATTTCACCTTTTTTCCATCAAGAGAACATCTCATGTGTATTTCTGGAGTGGAGTGGAGTAAAGGGGCATAATATTATCGTTCCTGCTTTCCTGGAGTGAAATGTTTAATCATCCTGTTAAGATGGACTGCTCTTCTGAGCTCAGGCCTTCTTCAGCCTCGAAGATAAATGTTTTTTGTCAGTGTTGTGTGTGCGTTTGATATTCTTTTGAGGTTCTAAACTTTGTGATAATACAACATTCTCCTACCCTGGAAGAAGGTCACCACAGACTTAAATCTCAGAAATGGACGACAAACAATCTGATTATTGGCTATATAGCCACTTTTCTATCAAAAATGTATAATTGTTTAGACTTTATGTTGTCCTATCAGAAGTAAACGATTATGCAATGGATGTTCCTACACTGGCTCTACTAATGTAACTAGTAATTATTCTTCAGTAAAATTTTACTTATTTGATTGAATTTCATTACTCCTGGTCTTCTTTCAGCATGTCTGGTCCTAGGCCTTACAACTGTACACCCCCCACACACCCCGCCCCCAAAACAGTGCAATAATCGAATCATTTTTTCCATTCAAAGATTTTAGTGCTTTCCCAGTGATCACGCTGACGTACTTCAGGTGAAATTTTGACAATAACTCCTTTACTGTACGTACAATAAACTAATGAGTTCAAGAAAAAATTACAGTAATTCCGCTGAACAATTTTTCCCCGTTCCAAGGGCTGTAGTGCTTTCCCAGTGACCACGCTGACGTACTTCAGGTGAAATTTTGACAATAATTCATTTACTGTACGTACAATAAACTAATAAGTTAAAGAAAAAAATACTGTAATTCCCCTAACGTATTTTTTCCCGTTTCAAAGGCTGTAGTCCTTTACTACTGATCAGACTGACTTACTACAGGTGAAATTTGGACAATAACCCCTTTACTGTACGTACAATAAACTAATAAGTTCAAGAAAAAAATACAGTAATTCCGCTGAACTATTTTTTCCCGTTCCAAGGGCTGTAGTGCTTTCCCAGTGACCACGCTGACGTACTTCAGGTGAAATTTTGACAATAATTCATTTACTGTACGTACAATAAACTAATAAGTTAAAGAAAAAATTACTGTAATTCCCCTAACGTATTTTTTCTCGTTTCAAAGGCTGTAGTCCTTTACTACGGATCAGACTGAC